TTCTGTTTGGCAAAACATATGATGGATCAAGGACCTGAACCAGCTCCCTGAACCCCTCACTCTCCACAATGCTAAGGGGTTGGCAGTCCTTTATAATAAAATTCAGGACTGCCTGGTCTAGAGCAATCTTCCTAGATGCTTGATTTCAAAATAATAAAACATATTAATTAAAAAAAAAAAGAAGATAAAGCTGCTCAATGTCTATATAGGCCTACCTGTGTTCATTCTCGGTGTGTTTGTCTCCTGATTTTCATGTTTTGCTCTATAATGCCTAAACATTGAGGAGGTGCTTTTGTTTGTGTACGAAAGCTCCGTAGAACAGATGCGACATTTAACCTGCAAAAAATAAAATAAATATTTTACACTGCAAGTCACAATGCTGTTTTTCCTATTCTGATAGATTACACTGAAACAAAGGCAGACAAACAGTTACCTTATTTGCAGTTAAAAGATCAAAATGATCCCACACAGCAGAAACTTTTCTTTTTCTTTCGGGCTCCGTTTTGTTGTAGAGGGATATGTATTTTTCTTTCTTTGTGAGAGTAATTTTCTTTTTTTTGGTGGCGACTCATTCCGTTGACAGATGCGGATGCGGTACCTTTTAAACACAGTTTGGCGCGTTGGCAATGAGCGAGACAGCAGCTGTATCGATCATGTGACTTTTTCTTAAAGCGACACACGCACCGATACAGGCTTCGCTAGGTGAGCTTGATACATGCGTCGGTGCGTCAGTGTTGCTGGACCCATCACTAGTGCCAGCAATAAAGCTGAGGTTTTCAGTTACATTTCCGTCTCCGAGTCCTGCATTTGGATCCACATCTCCACCTGCCCGCACACAAAGCCCTGACAGAACGACGCGACCACTATGGATCCAGCAGACTCACTGAGGAAGCGCTGCTCGCCTTTTGACGGGACCGGGCTAGCGCTTGGTGGGCCTGCGTGCTGCCGTTCCTCACTCGCAGCCTACCCTTCGGCCCACTCGTCTGCTTCCTCCCCTCGGACACCCCGGTCTCGCAGAAGACGCTCCAGCCGGTTCCAGGAGGATTACTACAAGACTGCAAGCAACCAGCTTACGCCTGCACAGGCGTTCTACAAAATGTTAGGGATCATTATTTTGCCACCCAACTCACCCAGCGTTTCCACACTGTATCTGTATTCCATTACAGTTACCGTTTAAAAAGTTGGTATTTAGAATACAGTTACTTTGTTGAAATAAATGGATTACACGGCGGTACTTCCCTGTTTCATATTGTCGCGGGTCAGGACTGTTTGGGTTTTGTTTGACAGCTACGTTCTGTTGTTCCAGGTG